CAAACGCAAAAGGCTCCTCTGTTCTTGGGCCATGCGTGGCAACGTGGTGCTGCCTAAGCCTTCCGTTTAGGGTTTAGGGTTTAATTAGGGTTTAGGGTTTAGGGTTTAGGGTTTAGGGTTTAGGGTTTAGGGTTTAGGGTTTAGGGTTTAGGGTTTAGGGTTTAGGGTTTCCCTGTATGAAGCTCCACCACAGATATCGGGTTCCGGATGGAGGGGGGTTCACGGGGGGTAGGCCCCTAGAGAACCTTAGGGGAGCTTAGGGAGTTTTAGGGAGTAGTGGGGAGAATTGAACCTTGGGTTAGACACCCCCCCCTTAAAGCCCCCCTCCTTACAGATACGTCATGGCAAAATGACCACCGTAAAGCCTGACCACGACCCGTCCTAAACCCTAAACCCTAAACCCTAAACCCTAAATCCTAAACCCTAAACCCTAAACCCTAAACCCTAAACCCTAAACCCCACACCCTAAACCCTAAACCCCCAAAGCCCATAGTGAGTGCAGCGCCGCAGCTCCCGCGCTGGGAGGCCGCCACTGGCGCGAGCCGGGACACGGCGCCGGCATCGCCGGCGAGGCAGGCCTGTCTAAGGGAAGCGACATGGCCCCTTAAGATGGTCTGCCTTCTTGTAGGGTCTAGGGTTGAGGGTTGAGGGTTGAGGGTTTAGGGTTTAGGGTTTAGGGTTTAGGGTTTAGGGTTTAGGGTTTAGGGTTTAGGGTTTAGGGTTTAGGGTCTAGGGTTTGGGGTTTGGGGTTTCGGGTCGCTCATTACGGTCGCTGATCTTCTTTAAAGGGGTTCTGCAATCTGGGCCCTTGGACGTTACAGGGTATGAGTATGTAAGGGGTATAAAGGGAGTTTCCCACTGAACGGCCCATGTAACTAAGATGCTGGCAAAGAATCTGGCTTTAGTGGATATAGGGCTTAAGGGCCTATAGGGGAATAAAGGGTTTCAGGGCTTCAGGGATTCGTATATTGGGTTCGGGTTTTCTTATTTTTTAATTTCTTTTTTTTTGGAGGGGTACAGGGTTTTAGCAGTTGGGGGCATGGGGGTTGTGAGTTGGGGTGTTAAGGGGTGTAGGGCTTTGGGCTTAGGGTGGACTGAGGCTTCAGCGTTGAGGGTTCGGAGTTTTGGGTTCAGGGTTCAGGGTTCAGGGTTCAGGGTTCAGGGTTTAGGGTTTAGGGTTTAGGGTTTAGGGTTTAGGGTTTAGGGTTTAGGGTTTCAGGGCTCAGATCTCGGAGGTGAGGCTTGACGTCTCAGTGCACGGAGGTGAAGGTCGAGTTTCGGAGCTTGACCCTAAACCCTAAACCCTAAACCCTAAACCCCAAACCCCAAACCCGAAACCCTAAAAACCCCAAACCCTAAACCCTAAAAACACTAAACCCCAAACGGTTCAGGGCTCAGGCTGTGTCTTCCGGAGAGGATTCTTTTCTTTGGGCAGGGGGGGGGAGGGGGGTTGAGGGGTTTAGGGTTTAGGGTTAGGGTTTAGGTTTAGGGCTTAGGGCTTAGGGCTTAGGGCTTTGCGCTTAGGGCTTAGGGCTTAGGGCTTAGGGCTTAGGGCTTAGGGCTTAGGGCTTAGGGCTTAGGGCTTAGGGCTTAGGCCTTAGGGCTTAGGGCTTAGGGCTTAGGGCTTAGGGTTTCGGGTTTGGGGTTTGGGGTTTGTAGGGATGAGTGAAGGGTAATGAAAGGCCAAGGGGTTGCTCTTGGCAGTCTGTTTGAAGGTTGTAGGGTTTGGGGTCTAAGGTTTAGGGTTTTGGGTTTGGGGGTTAGGGTTTAGGGCTTAGGGTTTAGGGGTCTTAAGGGAGCGGGGTTCAAGGGTGGTATGTAATGCAAGGATCCCTAGTACTCCCTACAACTCCCTAAGGCTCCCTGGGCTTCCCCAAGAAGATTCCCAAAATACCTACCCCCCATGTACCCCCCTCAGTTAAGAGCCCTATAGTCGCCTATAGTTGTATCGGGGCTTTCTCGAGATAATGAAAAAAGACAGGCGGCAAACCTGGCCTTTGGGGGATCGGGACTGGGGATTTAAGGGGCTGGGGTTTAAGGTTTGGGGCTTAGGGGCTCCCACCGCTTCCACGCACGTGAACAGCTACAACAAGGTCAAGGGCTGCAGGATGTTTGCAGGTCGTAGGGTTTTAGGGTTTAGGGTTCAGGGTTTAGGGCGCGCACCTCGCAAAGCTCATCCGCCTGCAAAGCGCGCTCATCAACCGGAGTTGTAATGGCAGCGTACGGGCCATGTAGCTAAACCTCAACCAAACCAGACCCTAAACACCTAAAGGGCTGTTGGGTCCGTCGGCTGAGGGTTGTGGGGCTCTGGCATAGTGTTGCGGTGTTTAGGGTGCAGCGTCATAGAATCGGAGCGTGGTAGGGCTTGGACTTGGGCATCATTTTGCAAGTGTACGGTTTAGGGCTTAGGATTTAAGGGTTCGGGTATTTGGTGGGTTTGGGGGGTTGTGAAAGTTTCGCGCGGAACCTGCAACCGGAGTTCGGTGCAGGCGGGGGGAAGGCCACTGCTTAAGGTTTATAGGTTTGTAGGGTTTGGATCACCCTAACAGAACCCCAGTTCAATCGCACACCGAGACAGAACTGCTTGAAGCCTCCTCCGCGGCCATCGCCAGAGTGCAGGACATGGCAGCCACAGTTGGTGTCTCAGGGTTTAGGGCGTTGTCTGCAGGAAGCATGAGCTGCACCAGCCGCGTTCCTCTCAAACAAAAAGACTTCGTAGCCCAGAAACCACATTAATTATGAGGAAACCCTAAACCCTAAACCCTAAACCCTAAACCCTAAAAACCCTTTTTGGGGTTGGTTACTTTATAAGGAAGCCCAAGAACCTCCCAAAAAAAGGCAATTAAAGGGTACCACTGGGCCACCAACAAGGGGGCCTTTCCTTGGACAATGGGTCCCTAGGGTTTAGGGTTTAGGGTTTAGGCTTAAGGGTTTAGGGTCTGGGGTTTAGGGTTTAGGGTTTAGGGTGGGTCCCTTAAGCGTCCCTAAGGATTGGCTCGAGCGACTGGCTGCAAGAGACTGGCCGATAGTGGCCGTTCAGACGGAAAGCATCTACACTCTGCTTGCGCCATTATTTGGAACCCTAAACCCTAAACCCTAAAACCCTAAACCCCAAACCCTATTCCCTAAAACTCCCTAGCCCACGGCAGGGTATCTAGCAGGGGACGGTGCATCAGGACCATGGGGCCATATGGAGCGGACGCTTTCTGGCTTTCCCTCCCCCACTTTGCCGGTTTAGGGTTTAGGGTTTAGGGTTTAGGGTTTAGGGTTTAGGACTTAGGGTTCAGGGTTTAGGGTTCGGGTTAGGGTTCGGGTTAGGGTTAGGGATTCCTCTTTTTTTTTTTTTTTTTTTGGGGGGGGGGGGGGGCGCCGACGCACTTCCTTCTGCGTCCACTCGCATGGACAAAGCTTTTGACTCCGTTTTGTTCAAGTAGGACTTGTCGTGTAATCTTGGAGGTGCCGGTGTCTTTGATGGTTGCTTCTCTATGCGCAAAAATCCGCTGCTCCTTAAGGACTTGTCCCCAACGAGGTGGGTCGCGCACCGTTAAAGTTACCTGTATCTTTTGCCAGACGTCGAGAGACGTGTTCTTTCTCGCCGGATTCCTACGAACCTGGACTGGAGAGTCTTGTTATAACCCAAGTAGCGATATGGGTCGCCTTCTTGAGCTTGGTTACGTTTATCAGGGAACCCAGAACCCGAAAAGGGCAAAAGGCCACCACTGGACCACCAGAGAGTTCTAATATAGGGGGCCGGGATAAATACTAATAGTAATAATTATACGATGATAGCCCCCAACACCCTATTCCAATTATTCAGGCCCCTAAACCCTAAACCCTAAACCCTAAACCCTAAACCCTAAACCCTAAACCCTAAACCCTAAACCCTAAACCTTATTCTAATGATTCAGGCCCCAAAAGTACAATGGTGTCGGGTTTTGGGTGCGGAGCCTAGGTAAGTTTAGTGTTCGGAGCCCAGGGACGCGGCCACCTTCGATTTAGGGCTTAAGGCTTAGGGTTTAGGGTTTAGAGTTTAGGGTTTAGGGTTTAGGGGTTGGGGTTTAGGGTGTAGGGTTTAGGGGTTAGCGTCTACGAACCGAGGAAAGGGAGCCTGGCACTCGAGTTGCGTGAAGTATCTTGAGCGCCTGCACTACCCACAGAAAGCATTGGCTGAAGTGTGATCAAGGAAGATCAATGCGGGGATAAGCCCTACATAATAACTCTAAAACCCTGAATCGTAAACCCTGAACTCTACCCAGACCCGGAGTGCAGCTCATGTTTTTGGCGCTTGCAAAGCATTTTTGAATGGCCTCAGCTGCGTCTCCTGCTGGAGGAGGGGTGGCTGGATAGAGGGCAGGGGGGGGGGGGGGGGGGGGGGGGGGGGGGGGGGGGCTCTGGGTTTAAGGTTTAGGGTTTAGGGTTTAAGGTTTAGGGTTTAGGGTTTAGGGGTGGGGGTGGGTGTGTCCCGAACCCGACACGCGCTGAACGGTATATTGACAAAGCTGACGGCTATCAATGCACTTGACTTCCTTCTGCCATCGAACCACCCAGTGCCGAACAAGTTCGGGCTTCGCGGTTGTAGATGCTATTGTATGCTCACCTTCTCGGATGATGATGCCATTTGACGACTATGCTACTATATTGTTGTACCATCGTATTTCAGCAATGAATACATTATCGTATCGAACCTTCCGGTGCATAAGGCTTGGGTCAGCAATGACTTCGCCCCAAGCCCGATGGCATCGTGGCTTTCACGAGGCCACAACTCGACCACGACCCGCAACGGACAAGCGGGCGAGGATCTGTATCTACTGTTAGTTTAAGGACCTTCCAAAAAAGTCAATGAATCTTCCTTGTAAGGGCAGTATGGGGATGATCATCTTTCATTTCATTTTTTTTGCGGGGTGGGGGGGGGGGGGTTCTTAAGCAAATAGTAGCCAGTAGGGACATCACGAGGTCTTCGCCCTGATGTTCAAGACCTGCTGTGCGAATCCTTGTACGGGTCAGACTATTTCAGCAGACGGCATGCATCGCCACAACAGAACGGTGACCAAGCCCATGACCGGCAGCGTGACAGCGCTTGCGTATACCGAGTTCCCAAACACATGGCCGACAAAATAGGCAAGAGATCTTTCTGCCATCACGAAGAGGCCAAACATCAGCGCGCCTGTTGCTACTAACCCTGCAGAGAGCAGCGCTTGCACAGATGTCCTTGATGATAGGTGGCGAGCCTTGTAGGCCAATCGAAGTAGAACCAAACAGTTGGAGGGCAGGAAGAAGAGGCCGTACAAAATGATTCCAGCAGCTATCTCCAGTAACATTGCTAAGTCGTAGCCATCAGCTATCCACTGGCCGGTCCACATGTCGAAGACGACCCACATAGTGGGACTCATCGCCTGCACAATGCGAGAGTACGAGAAGACGTGGTTCGCAAGCTGGTGGACCAAAACCGTCCGTAGCTTGTCTTGAACAAGTGACTCAAAAGACTCTGTGGATCCAAACCATTCGGAGATACAGCGAACCATGATGATGCGGTCGCAAGGAACCGGCCGGCCCGTCCGCCTATCAATGTGACCAGAGCGGCAGCAGAAAGACTTGGACTGCTCAATGGTGAAGTGGCGAACTTGCTCCTCACGGTCTAGGGTTTAGGGCTTAGGGCTGAGGGTTTAGGGTTTAGGGGGTAGGGCTCCTCCATCACGTCGATGCTGCGGCAGTGCGCGAGAACCACCGCAGCCAGAAGCAGCTGGCAAGGCAGAGCCAACGCGCACATGAGGATCGTGCCCCAGGGCACCAATGTCAGCTGCGTGCACAGGAATGTGACCTGGGATGGCCCTTATGATGAGGGCCTCGGCCTTCAATCTCGCCTCAGTCTGGTTGATGCAGGCAATGTCGAGGAAAGCCAGCTTCGTGCGCCGCCAGAAAAGCCCTGGGGAGGGTGCTGTACACCCAAAGTTTAGGGTTTAGGGTTTAGGGTTTAGGGTTTAGGGTTTAGGGTTTAGGGTTTAGGGTTTAGGGTTTAGGGTTTAGGGTTTAGGGAAAATACTCCTAAATCAGACCCTCTCAAACACCATGAAGGGAAAATACAAAACATCCCCAGGGCCTACCTAGAAACAGAGTCGAGTAGTAACCCACTACCCCAGCTGGGGTGCACCAAATGTATTCCCGTTCGGCTCCATTCCATGGCGGCAGGACGCCAGCCACGCACAGGAGGAAGGCAGTGAAGCAACAGAGCGTGCCTACCACGAAGGCTGGGAAGCCGTTCTCCTTGATAGCCCAGTAACCATATGACAATAAGGGCACCCTTTTTGGGTTGGTTACCTTGTAAGGGAACCAGAACCCAAAAAGAGGGTGAAAGGGTACCACTGGGCTACCGAGTTTCCAGGAACAGTATGTTGAAGTACTTGAGGGAAGCTCTTGTGCGCCAACTGTGAGACCAAAACTCATCGAGCTTCCCCGCGGCCACGCTGAACGCATGGAGCGTGTGGAGATCTCCACGAAGCCACTTGTGCGGTGCGAACTGCAGGAAACGATGCACTGGAATCCCTCGGACAATGTCTGGGCTTGTGGCTCGCATCTGCGACATAATCTGGACACAGGCCTCCATGCGAGTCTTGACATCTGCCACTGCCGTCGCCGTGGAGCTCTCAGATCGAGTCTCCGACACATCCGGGCCTGGGAACTCGGCGGGAACGTCAAGGCACATCTCCTGGGAGCTACCTTCAGTGACGTCCATCGGAATCGGAGTGGATACGTACAATATCACTCAGAACATCCCGGGCTCACATCTTTAAGCCCCAGCGACTTGGCGGAAACGGCAAACACTCCCCCCCAAAACCGGACAAGTTCGAGGGCCCAAGACCCGCCGGTAAGGAACGCATCTTAAATCTAGAACAGGGATCCAAAAGGGACTTTAAGTGCGTATCACCTTTACGAATTAGGAGGCTGGAGTTGGGGATAAGGTGCTTAAGGTGCTCAAGGTTTGTTGAGCTTGATGCTTGGGAAAGTTGGATTGGAAGCCCAGTGCGCCCCTTCGATGGTATGGGCAAGGGGTTTAGGGTTTAGGGTTTAGGGTTTCAGGTTTAGGGTTTGAAGTTTAGGCGCTTTAGGCCCCTTCGCGAGGCGATGCAAGCTCTCAAGCGCTCAAAGGCATTCTCCCGGGTCTTCCAGCGACGCGATCCGGTGTGAGACACGCACTGCGAGTTACAGAAACCTGACCGAGCTCAGCTGCAGTTCAATGTAGCTTAAGGTTCAGCAGACTTGGTCGGAACTAACTGCCAACTGGAAGTGTCTCCTAAACCCTGCCCCCTAAACCCTAAACCCTAAACCCTCAAAACCCTAGCTGATGATCTTCAACTTGGACGGCGGATTCTCTCTCAGTCCGCAAGCATCGTCGCCTGAGCTTTGCATGAGATAAGCTCTGCGGGTCCCGAAAAAGACGTGAGTCCGTGGTGAGGTGCAAGGAGGGGTACTGTTTAAGGCTTAAGGGTTACGGGTTTAGGGTTAAGAGTTTAGGAAGGGATAAGGGTTAAGGGTTACGGGGTTAAGGGTTTAGGGTTTAGGGTTTGGGGTTTGGGGTTTAGGGTTTAGGGCTTACTCAAGGGTTGAGGGTTGAGTTAGGGATTCAGGTTTAGGGCTTAGGAAGTTCCCTTAACCTGGTGGTTTTGGGGATTGCTGCACAAATAACGCGGAGCTCACCCTGGAACCCTGGAACCCTAAAACCCTAAAACCCTAAACCCTAAAACCCTGAAAACCGTAAAACACTATAATCCCTAAGACCCTAAAGCCCTAAACCCCAAACCCTAAACCCTAAGCCCCATAAAGCCTTCTCAAGTTCAAGCCTACTCTGGGGGCCATAATAATTAGAACAGAGTTTTGGAGGGTGATCATAGCATACTTACAATGGGGCCATAAGGGAATACTCCCTAAACCCTAAACCCTAAACCCTAAACCCTAAACCATAAACCCTAAACCCTAAACCCTAAACCCTAAACCCTAAACCCTAAACCCTAAACCCTAAACCCTAAACCCTAAACCCTAACCACCAAACCCAAGCTCCCGCGGGAGCTTGCCAAGCATCGGGCAGAGGAAGTCCAAGGCACTTCCTGAGAGCTCTCTTAGCCCAAAACCGCGGTTTAGGGTTTGGGGTTTGGGGTTTGGGGTTTGGGGTTTAGGGTTTAGGGTTTAGGGTTTAGGGTTTAGGGTTTAGGGTTTAGGGTTAGCGGAATGATACATAACCAAGAAGGCTAAAGGTTGATTCCCCAGCCCCACAGTTCTTGAAGCTTTATGAGATCCCAGGGTGCAGGGTTTGAGGTTGAGGCTGCAGGGCTTTGAGTTTAGGATTTGGGCTTTAGGGCTTGTTTTGGGGGGGTTTAGCGCTTAGGGTTTGGGATTTAGGGCTTGGGGTTTAGGGTTTGGGGTTTAGGGTTTGGGCTCGGGGTTTAGGGTTTAGGCTATGTAGGGAGTCTTGGCGATGTATCTGAAACCGACTGTTGTGCTTGTAGGGTTTCCATGTAACGGGTCGGCACGCGCAAGAGGGGTTTAGGGCTTAGGCTTTGGGGTTTATAGTGTTTGGGGTTTAGGGTTTAGGGTTTAGGGTTTATAGTGTTTGGGGTTTATAGTTTTTGGGGTTTAGGGTTTAGGGTTCACTTCCACATGTTGTCATCTCGGGGAATGAAATCCTAAACCTGCTTCTATCCTTAAACCCTAAACCCTAAACCCTCAACCCTAAACCCTAAACCCTAAACCCTAAACCCGAAACCCGAAACCCTGAGCTGGTCAGCTGCTCGTACAGTCTCTAGGTGCTGGCTCATGCGGTCATGCATGATTTACGGGGTGTGCCGAGGTTTAGGGTTTTAGGGTTTAAGAGTTTAGGTTTTCGGGTTTTAGGGTTTAAGAGGTTAGGGTTTAAGAGTTTAGGGTTTAAGAGTTTAGGGTTAAAGAGTTCAGGGTTTCCGGTTTTAGGGCTTAGGGCTTACTGTAGGGTTTAGGGTTCAGGGTTCAGGGTTTAGGGCTTAGGGTTGAGGGTCATTCGGTATCTCCCAAAACTTGTGTGCACCCCCTTATCCCTCAAAATAGAGTAGATTCCCCTTACACGGACCTCCGAACGGGGAGAAACCCCCGATTCAACCCCAACCCTAACACCCGAAACCCTCATGCCCAAACCCTAAACCCTAAACCCTAAACCCGAAACCCTAAACCCTAAGCCCTAAACCCTAAACCCGAAACCCTTATGCCCAAACCCTCAACTCTAAAGCCCTTGCTTGTTCACCCTCTTAGTGGGTAGTTGCATGCTCCCTTAGTGTCTGTGCCCTTGAATGGGGATCTCATGTATACCCCTTTTATACCCTACACAACCTAAGGGCCCATACTTCAGAACCCTTTTTAAAGAGGGGAAGGAATCATATTGAGGCCTGCCCATGTAACTACACTTAGCCCTAAACCAAAAAACCAAACCCCAAACCCTAAACCCTAAACCCCTAAGCCCATGTAACCACCCTTAGACATATGCCAGAAGCCCGACTCCCGATCGCTTTTGGCCCAAACCCTAAACCCTAAACCCTAAATCCCAAACCCTAAACCCTAAACCCTAAACCCTAAACCCTAAACCCTAAACCCTAAACCCTAAACCCTAATCGCTTTTGGCCCAAACTTGTGGCCGGACGGCTCAGGCCGCCGACCGCGGACCACGCTGCGCCTTTCTGAGCCGGGTTTAGGGTTTAGGGTTTAGGGTTTAGGGTTTAGGGTTTAGGGTTTAGGGTTTAGGGTTTAGGGTTTAGGGTTTAAGGTTTAGGGTTTAGGGTTTAGGGTTTAACTGCAGGTAAGAGGGTCCCAGGTAAACCCTGAACACTAATCCCTGGGGTGCGTTTGATAGAACGTTCTTTGTAGCACAGGGTAGCAAAAAAAAAGGGGGGGTCTGCGACTTGGAGCAAGCCACGCTTGGCTGAACTCAACCCTAACCTCAAACCCCTAACCCCTGAACCCTAAACCCTAAACCCCAAACCCTAAACCCTAAACCCTAAAACCCTAAACCTCAACATCTTCCAACGCAGGCTGCAATCAGCTCAACACTCACGGGAGTCAAGCTTGAACCACTAAGGATGTACCCCCCCCCCCCCCAAGAGGTTCCCTTAATACACTCCTACTTTGACCCATGTATTCCCTAGAGGATCCTTCTAAAGTGCCCAAACCCAAGGCTACGGCCTCCAAGGTAGTTTGACGTTTGAGGTTTGGGCTCCGGGCTTTAGGTGTCAGGGGTGCGGGTTTAGGGTTTAGGGTTTAGGGTTTAGGGTTTAGGGTTTAGGGTTTAGGGTTTAGGGTTTAGGGTTTAGGGTTTAGGGTTTAGGGTTTAGGGTTTAGGGTTTAGGGTTTAGGGTTTAGGGTTTAGGGTTTAGGGTTTAGGTTAGGGTTTAGGGTTTAGGGTTTAGGGTTTAGGGTTTAGGGTTTAGGGTTTAGGGTTTAGGGTTTAGGGTTTAGGGTTTAGGGTTTAGGGTTTAGGGTTTAGGGTTTAGGGTTTAGGGTGCAGAGCTTTGGGTTAGCGCTCAGCTCTTCTATGAGAAAGCAGAACCATAAATCGAAACCCCACCACCCCAAGATCATCGACATCCCCGAACCTCCTCCCCGCGCCCCCCCTGAGGTTTAGGGTTTAGGGTTTAGGGTTTGGGGTTTGGGGTTTAGGGTTTAGGGTTTAGATGGGTTTAGGGTTTAGATGGGTTTCGGGTTTAGATGGGTTTAGGGTTTAGATGGGTTTAGGGTTTAGGGTCCATGAGCTTCTGAGTCTATAGGGCTTCTGGGCCTTTCAGCTGCTCTCGCCGTTTGGATGCGAAGTCCAGCGTCTGCACCTGTCCAAGAA